TGTTAGGTACCTGGGTTTGGAACCTAACAATAACACTCACTCGATGCAGATAAAAGAGATGAAAGAAAGAATTCTCTTATTCACACTGTAGAATCATCGCTCTACAAAGGATGGGTTGGGAGCATAACCTCCCTGGTTGAGAGCATAACCTCCCTCTATAGGTTAAAGACCTGACTTTACAAACTATACTCGATGCCCTCTGCAGAGTTACAAGAGCTCTATTTATAGCAGCTCTGACTCGCTCCCCCTTTACAACCAACACCCTCACACCCTTAACCGCTCAGTCCTCAACCTGATCTATCCTAACATCCTAGATCCTAACAGGATGAGAGTCATGTTCCCCTTGTAGTTGGAATGTGGGCACTAATTTTAGAGTATTCTAATCTAATTGACTATTTTGATACTACACAAACAAAGAAAATAAAGAACACATGGAAGATTCAGTCCACTCAAGATTCTTGTGTTATAAAGTGCTCCTTGATTTATCTCTGCTATCTGTCTCATGTTGATTGTTCCTAATTGTGGAGCACTTAGGTTTTCTTGTCTATTTGTGGTGTTTATCTATAAATGCCTTATATTCTTCTTTTGTAGATCCAATATTTTCATTTTCTCCTCTTGCAATTCACACAAGGAATTTGTTGGCTGACCCAAGATGCACACTGGTTGTTCAGGTTTGAAATATGACATTTCCTATTTAAGCTTTTAGATTTCCATTTTTTTTTTCCATTTTTTGGGTTTTATTGACTGTTATATTTTTCAGATACCTGGATGGAGTGGCTTGTCCAATGCTAGGGTAACTATTTTTGGGGATGTCTATCCACTTCCGGAAGATCAACAGGTTGTTTGTTGATGAATTTGTTTTTGTGGGTTAGGAAATGTGCACTTGTTGGTACCTTCAATTATTCACTTAGAGATACTTCTGAATTAGAGGTGTACCTGTGCATTTCATGGTATCTATTTGACTTTTTTGTACTAACAGGAATGGGCTCATAAGCAGTACATTGCGAAACATCAACAGGGTCCTTCTCAACAGTGGGGCAACTTCTACTATTTTAGAATGGAGAGTATAAGGTTGGCTCCTTTCCAGTGATATCTATGGGGTGGATCTAGTAATTTTTTGTTATTTCTTTTTAGGAGTGAGGGGTGTGAATCTTGATTATGCAATCATACATAGATGGTCTACATTATCTACTCAAGATTAAAGACTACCTAAAATCACACGATCATTTAAAGTCACATGACTTTTGAATTTTAATATTGATTATTCCTTGTATGCTTTAATAGTTAATTGGTTCCTCCCACTTACACATAAAAGTGACTCTAATTTGATATTTGTCTGCACTATCTTTAACGCAAGCAGCTGCTGCCTGCTGCCAAGTTGATTGTGTTGAACAAATAATCTTGTGTGCAAACTTTCTTGCATATTTTTTGGGGCATTTTACTTGGGCCTGGCGTATAAATGTCAATCTTAGCCAAAGAACCCAATCGCCTAGACATTGACAACTAGTTTTTTTCTTTAATGGTTTAAATATGAAACAACCATATTTGGGTGTTTGGTAAAGCATTAAGAACATGGGCAGATCGATTTTATCCTTTAGAATTTTTCATTAAAATTCTAGTTCCTCTTAACAAAAAGTTATGGTGCTCGTGAACAATAGAATCCATGAAGAATTGGGAAATTCAATTTCATCAGTTGTTTGGTACTGTCATTACCAACCTGTGTAGCTAATTTAATCAGTTCATTATTGACAGTGACATATATTTCATTGGAGGCTTTGGTACTGTTGCTTGGGTGGATGTAAAGGAATATGAAAAACTTCAACCGGATAAGATTGCAGTCGATGGTGGTGAACAGTATTTAAAGGTGAATTTTCTGATCTTTTTTCTTACGCGTTAAAGGAAATAATATCTGGCTTGTGTAGGCAAAATCAATTTTGTATGCTCACAGACTGTGTTTCTCTCTTTCCCACTAAAAAGAAATTTATGTGATTTGTTGGGATGGGGCATTCTACTTTTTTCAGCATAGTAGCTGGAGATGGTCCAGATGGGTGTATACATGTGGCACATTCAAGGTTGACATGACTGGGGTTGGTTTTGTGGGGTTCTTAGTTGACCCTAGTGCTATCCCTTAGTCAATAAAGCTACCTAAAAGGATAAATTAATGTCAACCCCCCTCCCCGGGTAAGTAACCCAATAGGGTTTTTTGTGAAGTTGAAATGAGATCTTAGTAGTTGTTTCAGTCAAACCTTAATCAATGACTTTCTATAATCCATATGCTCATTGATACAATTATGTAAACCAACCCTAGAGTTATAACCTCATTGCTTGGTTTTATGTTTGAAATAATAGGAACTCAATGCTATCTTCTCAAAGCCCCTTAAGAAACTTCTATCTAATGAGACTGAGGTAGATGATGCTGCACTCATTTCCATAGACAGTAAAGGGACTGATATCAGGGTCCGTCAAGGTGCCCAGGTATGTTTTTTCTTTCCATAGTCAGATTCTTTCTCTGATAATATCTTTCATTTAATGTCTTTCTTGTATGCAGTTCAACATTCAGAGGATATCATTTGATGAAGGGCAGAGTGTAGAAACTTTGGAAGAAGCTAAAGCTGCACTTAGGAAATTAATACACAAAGGAAAAGTGTACAATTTGCAGCAATAAGATGTTGGATGCCCTCTCCCTCTGGAACCCTGCCAGTTTTCTAATCTGACTTTTTCTGGAATGGTTAATTTTATACTTTTTGCCTGGTTGACATGCACCAGAAAGTGTATTATATCAAGTCTGATGGTTAGAGGGCCTTTTGTGGGCTATCAGCATAATCAAACTAGAAATAATATATCAGAACTCAGGTGAAATAATAGTATGCTTTTTCCCCCTAAAGAAGTCCCTTCCATGCTGTTGTATTTGCTGATAATAAACCAATAATCTCAGGTTGTTAATTCAAGATATGACATGTAGTTCACATTTGATGTTTTCTTTACGGTTTTTTGAAAAATGTTTCGATGGACTATTTCTTTGGTGTTTATCATATTCACTAATTCAAGCTTTCACACACACACACACAGCTATAGCTGTCAAAATAAGTTCATACGATGAACTAGTTTGAAAAGTTCATAAAAACAGAACAAATTAGATTGGACTATTTTTTATTTGATTTGCCTGAGTTGTCTGTGGGATCTTAATATCTTATATAAATTTGATTTCTCTCGAAGAAACTGACAATATTTCATATTAATTTATATATCATTATATTTAAAATTTAGATTTAAATTCAGTGAAATGATATTAACTTAAAAAATATATAATTAAATTTTTTTATATTTTTCGTTTGTTTATTTAATTTGTATTGTTTAAAATTTGATATATTGATCAAAATGAGTTGTGGCCCATGTAAGGTCAGGCAAAAAGGTGGCAACTTGTTTTAAAAAGACGAGTTGAAAAACAAATTTTCTAGGTGACTTGTTTAACCGGGATAAATCCGTTCTATACAAGACACATTAAAATTAGGTGTTTATATGTTTTTTTTTTACGTAAGATTAAAAGGTATATATTTGCTACCTATTTTTTCTGTTCGTCGATACAACTCAAGAGGAGAAGGTATCTTCCACGAATGAGTAATAGTATCTGAAAATGGTTCTAGTATAGAAGAAAAATAAATGCACAATTAAACGAGAAAACAGAGGAGAGGTTGATTTTAATCAATGCAATAAAAATAATATTTTTTACTTTCATCCACTTTTATATATCTTTGAATGCCTTTACTATGATCCACGATTCATTATTGTTAATAAATATTCTAGTCTATTCAATAAAAGAACATATACAATATAAACAACACTTAATTATATACTTGAATGAACCACTACGGAAGATATTACATCATGATTGGAAAGTCAGTTTTATGATCGGTCAGACAATCAATTTTAATGTTGAAAAATTAAAATAAAATATGATTTCTATCACGATTTCTATCAGTTAAACTGTTATATATTGAACTGATTTTAATATTGAAATAATTTTTGTAATTGTGATCCGAACAGTTTAGATAAATAATTAAAAGATACTTTGAAATCGAAAACAACATTTTGATCATTAATTTTTTAAATGTTAATAGTTGACCTCGACCTATACCTTGAAATAAAACATATATTTTTCTTTTCAATAATAAAGACTTACCTTTTTCTAGTAAATTCCTTCATATTATCTCTCCATTTTCATTTTCAAAGCAAGTAGATTATGAGGAAAATGAAATATAGAGTATGCAAGACAAAGATTGGAAGAACAGTAGCAAACTGAAGAATATAGAAGTCAGTTAGAGATTAATAAAGACAACAAAAGTCGACAAGAATTTAGTTGGCGGGTCCAACCATACTCTTTATAGTTATTATAATATCATTCAAAATCCTTCTAATCCTGCATAGTAACACACTCTCCCCTTCCAAAAGTATCAATTTTAGCTTTTAAAAAAA